GGAAGCTCCTCTAGCAGCTGTCAATGAGACAGCCACCAGAGGCTGGATTAACCCTCAGTGAAACATAGCCGTTTCTCTGAAACGGCTATGTTTTCAGCTGCAGGGTTAAAACTAGAGGGACCTGGCACCCAGACCACTTCATTGAGCTGATGTGATCTGGGTGTCTGTAGTGGTCCTTTAAGTGTGTGTGCAAACCGCGGTCGGGGGGTCGCAGCCCTGCAACCCCTGCGACCAGGTGCCCGCCGCCATGTGTTGCGGCCCCAACCCGCGCCGAGTAAGCGCGGGGGGGGGGGGCCCACGGATCAATTTTCGCACCGGGGCCCCATGGGTCATGTGTACGCCACTGCCTGCAGCCCTATATCCCCTCTCATACCATGCAGCCCCATATCCCCTCTCACACCATGCAGCGCAATGTCCCCTTCTCACACCCTGCAGCCCCATTTCCCCTCTCACACTCTGCAGCCCCATTTCCCCCTTCCACACTCTAAATTACTTTTTCCGCCCTCACTTAACATCCCCTCTTGTCTCCCCCTCACACACACATCGCCTATCATCCCCACACTACACGTGGACTGCCCTGAGGGGTATTAAACAAATGTGCCCACTTTGGAGAGGCATAAATGTCATTGGTGATGACACAACATGCACTCTCTTGGGCCACACCCCTCCGAGGGCTGCTTTGCCTTTAAATGCCCAAGATGAATTTTTGCCCCAGTCTGGCCCTGGCTAGCACTGTAATGCTCCTATAGCGAGCTCGGAGTGTTGCCGTGGTTACCATGGCAAATCTCGGAATCTCGCGAGGGTGAACTCTAGCCTCAGGAGCTGCTAGAGTTTACTCTTACCACTGGGACCACCAGAGCTTCTCCACCGGACCACCAGGGATTGCCTTGTACTTTTCCCACTCCCAGGCAAAGGTAACTCCCACCATACACACATATTGCTCCCACACACATACTGCCCCTCCACACACACACACACAACCACTGGGCTATACATTTAAGTAAAGCATGTTAATGGATCTGTAGAATCACTGTTCTTGATATGTACACATATAATAAACTTGACATAATTGATTTTATTTAATTTTTATGTGGTTGACACAATTTTTCACAGGATACTTACGGAAAACAAGGATTTGTCTGTCTCTTGCACAGTTGGCAGATTTGGTGCTCCAGACTTCTCAGTAAGCTCTGCTATTGTCTTTTCTGTGTCTTGCTCTGAAATCATATTCTGTCAATAGATTGTAAATCATTATTTGATGGGAGTCAGTAAAATACACAGCTCTAAAACAAGCTGATTTTGATATAAAATGATAAAATGACGTGGTTCAATTAAATTGAAAACAAAATGTTATAAATCTTTATGAATATTTTGGGGGTGATATATTACCAATTTTCAGTATTTTATCAAATAATGACTATTCAACTTGCAAAAATAGTGAGGCAGTTTTAATTGTAAAAGTTTTTTTTTTTAAATGAACTCTATGCTACAGCATGATAATTGATTTGAAAAGCATTGCACATTCTAGATATAGTCTTGTTGTGTGTGGAGAGTATTTGGCAGATTGGCAAGCAATGTCATTATCTAGATATAGTGTGCTGGATACTGGGAAAAAAAAGGAGAGGACCTGCATAGTCTAGGACAGTGGTGCCCAAAAGGTAGATACCCAGATGTTTTAAAACTACAGCTTCCATTATACTTTGTCATTCTAAAAACATTCTAAAGACATGTAAAGCATCCTGGGAATTTTAGTTCTACAACATCTTGGGATCTACCTTTTGGGCACTCCCGGTCTAGGAAGACTACAATGCGGTCTTCCTTCATGACCTGGGCCTTGCATCATGTAAGTGACAGCTCACTCAAAAGCAGAAACAGAAAAGCTATTGATTCTACATATCAAACTGCAAATTTGACAGCACATAGTTTTGTAATACTTTTATGATGTTATTAGTGATACCCCAGGAGTTAACTTCCCAATCATAGATTGTTGGGACCCAGAAAGACCACCACATAAATAATAATCTATACAAAGACTATGCAACAGAAAAAACATTCATGTAAAAATAAACAAATACATACTTTGCACAGAGAGAGAGAGAAAGAAAGAAAAGTATTGGCAACTTAGGCACTCAGAGCAATTGCTGCCTCCACCAAACTAAACAAACTGGATTGGTGCAAACTGTGCAGATTTCAATAGAAATTGCCAGTTTTATGAATCAAACTGGTTACACTCCCCTGACTTTCAAGCAGACACCCAGTCCTGTTACTTCCTGGTTTGATTAGCTCAGGGGAGTTAAACGTAATAGGCAGCAACTGCTCAGAGCACCTGCCTTGCTGAGACTTTTCATTGAGCCGTATTTGGAAGTCTGTGGTTGGACAGACACAGAAAGTCTGGCCAGGTTAGAAGGGGAGGACTTACAACTGATAAAAAGTTTATCAAGCTGTTTTTACATATATACCCCAATGAATAAATGCATTATTAAATGCACGCAAGTTTCCACTTGGGATACCTATAATACAGAGCAATTTTTTTATTTTATTTTTATATGGGCAATGGAGTGTCCCTTTTAGTGGTCTGGAGGCTATACTTACAATGGCCACAAGGTGGCACTCCTGGCTTAAAACGAAAGACTGTAAAACCGACAACATTTTAAATGCATTGTTGTTATCATTTTTGGCAATTATATAGTGCTAACTTATTCTGCAGCACTTTACAATGTTACAAAGGGGGGAATTTAACCATAACTGAGACAAATGATTAACACATTTGACAGGAACAATAGGTTGATGAGGACCCTGCTGAATGAGCTTACAATCTAGCATTATGCTTTATTTATCTTCTGAGTTTGTTTCAATAGACCTGGTTTCTTTCAATAGTGAATGTTTTAGTTTAAAGGGATACTATCTACTTGAATTGCAATGACTTATAAGGACATTGCATTAAAACATTTGCAAAATGTTCGTTTCTCATTTATTCTGTCATTTGTAATTATGGCCCAGCTTATACTGCCTATTTTGATATTGTTTACTTGTTTTTTTGCTCATACGTTCTTATCTTCTTTGGAAATGCTAACAACTGGCAATATGCTTTGTGCTATTTTCTACCTTGTTATTTCTTTAGTAAGGAACCACTAGATATTTTTAATAACATTACCTGTTGTCTGGATGTGCCTGTAAATGAATTGCCTGTTTTAAGTTAGGCTCTGTGACAAAATGGCTTATGTGACGTGTTATTTTGGAACACTAGCTATAGTTGAAGCTGCATTGTATGCCCAAAGATCTAGAGAATTAGGGCAATCCAACATTAACACTAAGTCTGGTCCACTAAAGAACATGATCCATTGTTGTGCTGATTTAGAGTTTGACTCTATGATGAAACTGCGGATGTCTTACTACAGACCCAGGATAGATAAGAAATCCGTGCAGTTCGTGAGGAACCTAGTGATCGAGACCCTGTGACGCTGGGCAGAGATGGAAGGCCAGTTGGCACGTTGGGAGAGACTCCAGCGTCAGATAGAGTTACGGGGAGAGGAAAGCATCGTCCTCCCTCCCCAGCGTCAGTGTACCTTGCAGGGAGCGGAGACAACTGGTCTCTCTCCCCAGTGGCAGACAGAGTCACAGGGAGAGGAAAGCATCGTCCTCCCTCCCCAGCGGCAGTGTACCTTGCAGGGAGCGGAGACAACCTGTCTCTCTCCCCAGCAGCAGTGTACCTTCCAGGGAGCGGAGAGCATCGTCCTCCCTCCCCAGCGTCAGTGTACCTTGCAGGGAGCGGAGACAACTGGCAGACAGAGTCACAGGGAGAGGACAGCATCGTCCTCCCTCCCTAGCAGCAGTGTACCTTGCAGGGAGCGGAGACAACCGGTCTCTCTCCCCAGCAGCAGTGTACCTTACAGGGAGAGGAGAGCATCGTCCTCCCTCCCCAGCGGCAGTGTACCTTGCAGGGAGAGGAGACAACCGATCTTTCTCCCCAGCAGAAGTGTACCTTGCAGGGAGAGGAGACAACCGGTCCCTCTCCCCAACCACAGGGGGATAGCACCTCTAACCCTGATGGTGCAGATGGGACAGCGGTCTATGCACCAGACCTACAGGGTCCAGATCCCCAGCCAACCCCACAGGAATGCCAGGAGGTGGAGGTAAGCGAGCCCTCCTCTCCACAGCAGATTCGCAACCAGGTCCTGGTGGTAGTACTAACTGACCCCATCCCAGCAGAAGAGCTGGCATTTGGGCAGAGCGCCGCTGGCCTCTGCCCTACCTGTCCCTTTGTTACAGGGCAGGTCTGCGCCCCAGTTAACCCAGCTGAAGCGCTGGCACCAAGAGAGAGTACTGCTGATCTCTACCCACAAAGTAACCTCCACTCCAAGCCAGAGAGCAACCCAGAGACTGGGAGTACCAGATATCACCCCAACCTTGGTGGACTCACAGGACAAAGACAAGCTACCAAATTCACCAGGTCCAGTATTTGGTTGTGGATGGGCTGCCAGACTAACTCAGGTACCGACCGGCGTGAGGTTAGGTACCTGGTAGGTCTTCCCTGGAAGGGGGAGAGATGTGGCAAATATAACCTTGCCACTGGGTTTTGGAGGGGCCTGTTTGCCAGCCTTTTTCCTCAGGATTATGGGCCCTGCAAAAAGACATGCTAAAACGTCTATTTGGGCTTATTGGATTTTAAAACACTTTGTCTGCCCCTTTAAATCCATGGGAAAATGTGCCTCTTTCCCGCCCCCTTTTTCCTGTCCTATTGTTTCTCCAGCACGGTGTTGTCCCAGGGACACTGCCAGACCAGTTTAAACTGGCTTCTTTCTTCCTCCTCAATCAGCCCTTGCTATTTTCTGACCTCACCCTTCCTTGTACTATAGGGCACTTTTAACATTGGACATATGAGCGCTCAGATCCAAGCTATCTGGGGATATGTTGATATGTTGGACATATAGGTTAAACATTGTATTATATGAGTTATGTATTCTTATGTGGTTTTTGTAACAGTTTTTGGACTTAGAGATATTTCCTGTACCTGGAGATAATTGGCTTACCACAGCCACTTAAGCCAATTATCTCCAGGATAGAGGAGAAGATAGACCTGCTGCACAGCCTAAATCTGTGGAACTATTTTGGGCATGAAAGCCATGCTTGCGGTCGGTCAAATGTGACTTCCATAAATCTTTTGAAATCTTTTGAACACCTGCTCTGATCTGGGCTATCCAGGGATGTATGGGGATATGTTGTTGTTTTGGGGTGTTTTTGGACTTTGGGTAAAACTTGATCTTTTCTGCCTGTGGTAATTGAGTTAGTCCATTGTGTTTGGTAATTGTATCACAGGCAGAGAGGATGGTTTGTGTACATTAGCTGGGAGTGTCTAACTGTACAATACTGTGTTGATTGGCTGATTGGCTGTCCACGTGGGTGGTAACCTTGTGGAGAAAACTGTAAATAAGAAATGCCTTTGTGCTCATTAAACCAGTTCTACTTCACCCTCAATTTAGAGTCCTGTCTCTTATTGGGGGAATCTACAAGGGATCTGCTCTTCATACTCCCTTGCTATAATCACCAAGCTCTTTTAAGTGCTTGTTCCTGTTCCTGCTGCGATCTTTGGGGAAAAGAGAGGTGAACCTGGAGCCTTGTTGTAAGTCCAGGGTGGGTAGGAGACGGCGAGACCCCAACCAAGCTACGGCGGTTCGTGGGGTCTCTGGTGGAGTGCTTGGAGCCCTCAGGAAGCGCTAGGAGCATCTTTCAATGGAGGTACCCAGTTGGGGTGCCAGGTGATCCGTTACAAAGTGCATTGCCAGTAGAACAAGTTGGTTAGTATGCTCTGTACCAACCGGAACATACAACCACAGTATGGGGGGGATTGCCGGTGAGTCCGCTACCAAGCAAACATAACCTTGGGGCTTAGTTGAACAGTAGTTAGCGATGCAGGTTAGGCAAAGAAACCCATGGACGATAGCAGGTCTGAACTGGTACATCTAGTGCCAGAGACGCAAGAGCCATATCGTCATAGGATCTCTATTGTTTGAGATTTACCATGTTATAATTGATTTAATTTCCCCTTGGGCTTCTCATGTCTCTGATTGGTCACTCCTGTTTATGTCAGCAGGTTTCTCATCCCCCACCCCATGACTCCATTCCTGCACCTGTCAAAAATGACCTACCAAGCACTCAATAAACCCTTCTGTAACAAACTATTTAATTCCCCTACTTTAACCCTTTGTGTCACTATACCCCACTCCCTCTAGCATGTAAGCTCATCGAGCAGGGTCCTCAACCCCCTCTGTTCCTGTACGTCAGTGGTCTGATCTCAATTATGCGTCTGTTAGTCCACCCATTGTACAGCGCTATGGAATTTGTTGGCGCTATATAAATAATAAAATAATAATAATAATAATAATAATAATGTGTTATTTGGAGAACTGCTATATATTCTGTCTATGACCTGAAATAAAGTGTGTTTGTGATTTACCAAGAAGGAGCTGGAGTGACTAAAAAAAAACATTTTAGTTTTAGTCGTATTTTATTCATCTGAATTGTTTTAGTCTAGTTTTAGTCGACTATATCTCCAGTGGATATTAATGACTTATATCTAATGGGTGCAGTTAAAGCCTCTTTTGCTCCTTCCACAGCAGTGTTCATTTTAGCATCAAATTTCAATTTAGTTTTAGTCATAGGGTTTTGACTAAAATGCCATTTTAGTTCTAGTTGTATTTTAGCCATCTTAATTGTTTTAGTTTTAGTCGACTAAAATTTGACTAAAATTGTTAGTCGACAAAATTAACACTGGAAGCATCCAGGTATATTGCTGTTTCTTGTTCACTATAGAGTTGTTGCTCATAGAGATCTGCCAGTTGCCTAGTTAAATAGATCGAATATCTTATACCAACCGGAGCTATCTGTGTCGTCTCTCCTGCATTGCCGGAAAATTGTTCAGAGTAGTGGAGCAATATTTAGGTGAAAAACCCACACCAAAAACTCAGAATTCAAAGTGTTGTGTTATACTTATTGAACAGCAGATGGCACCAAAACGATAATCTCATTGCAAATAAATGAGAAAAAGTACAAATAATAGTGCAGATAGTCTAAATAGGTAACCAGTATAGTGTATATACAGTAACTTAATATAGTCCAATATTAGTGCAAATGGGCTAGATAAGTAACCAGTATAGTATATAGGCAATAAATTGATATAGTCAAATATTGTTTAGAAAAAGCTATTAAAGTGCATAACAATCTTTATTATACATAAAATCAATATTAAAGAAACAAACACACTGTATCTTACAAGAAGGTGTTTATATTTTGATGTTGATTTTATGTATAATAAAGATTGTTAGGCACTTCAAGCTATAATAGCTTTTTCTAAACAATATTGGACCATATCAATTTATTGCCTATATACTATTTTTTCTCTTTTATATGCAATGTGATGATTGTTTTGGTGCCATCTGCTGTTCAATAAGTATAACAGCACTTTGAATTTTGAATTTTTTGTGTGTTTTTGCTCCACTACTTTGAACAATTTTCTAAACTTTTAAAATAATTTAATATTATGAAGAATATTTTAATTATTCAATATTTTGACATTGATTTATATATTGGTTTATATTATATATTTTTCATTTTAATGTTAACAAAATTATTATAAAAATGTATCAAAAAATAATAGCCCTTTGGAAATCTTAAACAATATTTAAGGCCTTAAGGAGTGGGTTGTAATTGGAATCCTATATATTAGGGAATAGCAAGGAAGGTTACTGTATTGGGACAGGAGGAGGCTGAGAGCAGAGGTTCGAGAATGTTAGATTTTTGCTGCTTAGATAACAAAGAGACAGTTTAAAGGCAAGGTATATATATTTGAAGATTGGGCACATAAACCTACAATCATCAGAAAGTGGAAAATGTATGCTGGAAAAGCTAAAGACAAAAATTAATAATGTTAAGATCTAACATGTTACCGGGCAGCTTTTGGCGTAGGGAGGAGTTGTCCACTGTGTGATTCCAAACAACAAAAATATAACAAAGAGTGTTGAGGCATACGACCTGGTAGGGTTTCAATAGGGAAAATTTAATTCTTATGGATGAGAAAAGGAAGTCCAGAGCTGATAAAGTGGGAGTGACAAGCTTAGACATAGAAAGATCAGGATATGTGGGGTGGGGAAGAAAAAAAACATAGAATGGCCAGGGCCGGATTAATATAGGGGCTGATGGAGCTGCAGCTCCAGGCCAATGCCTATGGAATAGGCCCACTGATAAAAAAAAAAAATTGTAAGAATATATATATATTTTTTACTACTCTTCACATGCTCTTTCTTAAGTATGTAAACTTAAGAGGGATGTAGGGGAACAAAACTTATGTGGGCTGGCTGACAATGACATTAGTTAAGGTAAAGCTGACTTAGCGCACTATGCAAAGGCTCTTGCTGCTTCAGTCTCTCTAACACTGTGGAATGTACTTCTACCTTCACTACAAACAACTTTTCTCTGTCCTAGACTATATGCTAGTAAAAAGGTAGGGAGAGGAGTGGACAAATAAGTGCTAAGGGACTGTCCTTAGAAAGCGTGGAGCAAGTGCATCATTAGACACATTTATGTCAAGCTCAGGGTGCTGTCTACATGGTATGCCCTTAGTTGTCTAGCTTGCATGATTGGCAGGCAGCGTGACATGCATTTACGCCAGGCTGGCCTTCCATTTCTTTGGGCAGACACGCCCCTTTTTGGGCATGTTCACCCCTGTGGGCGTTTCTGGTTAAGTAATTTGAATCAGTTGTGCACCCTTTTACGCCACCCACTGACATCCTGCTTCACCGGATGGACACTGCTGTTAGGGGGTATGGATTTACTTGAAAGATGAAAAGCGAGAGATTTAGCATAAAGTATGTGTTTTCTGATAGCTATATCCTGTGAATTTTCCTCCAGCACCATCTCTGCCAGACAAATGAAGCTAGGGAGGTATGACTATTTTAGTGTTATCTGTCAATAAGATTCTGTAATTAGGTCCATCATAATTGTCAGCACCAGGCCCAATAGGCTCTTAATCTGGTCCTGAGAATGGCCAATGCATTGACTTGAAGGGATATATTTTATGAAATACAATTGATAAGAAAGAGAGGGTAGGTGCAAGGGGGGGGTATCATGCAGTTGATACAGGCCTGCATGCTATCTGCTATCCCTACTCACATCTACTGAGTCTAAATGTTACTAACCATAACTCCACATGCCCTGTAACCACACGCAGTAAGTTCCCTAGCCCCTTACCTTAAATATCCTACTATCTGCAATCTCTTGGCTTTTTACACACAGTTGCCTAGAAAAGATCCTTGACTTTTTGTCTATACATTACTCTTTCCTCTACTCCTTCCTATCTCACCTTGTTTTAAGTTGATGTTAACTCTCTTCATTATTTTCCTCATACTTAATGATCTCTTCCCCTCTTTTTCACTGCTCTCCCCAACAAGAGGATTCTAAACAACTACCTTAATTTTTAAGATGCTGAGTTAATTTATGTACTACAGAGACGCAGTGTTGCAGGGCGTCATGCAGAGTCATCCACTGGGTTGGGTGGACATGGATGCGCTTCCAGGGCTCATCCCTAATGGTAATACTGTGGACACCAGCCCTTACAGAAAACAGACACCAGACATGTTCCCTACCATAAAACTAATGTTCCAAATATGGGACAACCTCCTGAGGGCACATGAATTTAATAACCACTTCCTGCCGGCAGCCCCCCTGATGTACATGGATGTTCTATTCCCATTGAAAAAGGTTGGCATGATCCACTTATCCCAATTGGTGGACGGCGGAGATGTGAGGGCCTTTCCAGACCTCCTTTGCTCTCCCCCTAGCTTAATTTTTAAATATCTTTAAATAAAAAGTCTACTACAAAAACACCTGATCGCAGTGGCACAGCCGTCGTGGACCCTGCCTTCCCCATTGGCTCACTTTGTAGAAAAATGTTGGAAATGCCAGACGACACCCAAATTAATTTCCATAAGCTACAAAACTTTAGAAACCACGCAACTCCAAAGAAAATATTCCTTCCAATCAAACTGGGAATCAGACTGTAACACTTGCTTCTCTAATGACATGTGGGTCAAGTCTCTTAACGCATTATGCGGATGACCTCATGCTACCATCATATGGAGGCACGCCGTAAATTGGTTTACCACTGGTATCTAAAATCTTCTTGTTTGCACAGAATCTTTCCATCGTCTCCTTCAACCTGCTGGAGGTGTGGCATGGAACAAGGCACTATGTTGCATATATGGTGGACTTGTAAAGAGATTAAACCTTTCTGGAAGGGGGTGGAGGGACTGTTGTTATCCATGCCCCTCTTACGCCTGAAAAATACCTTCTCTTTATGGCTAAGGTAAACAACTTATTTTACAATAGGGCCCTACTTAAACACTTCTCCCTAGCCGCACGCCATCCTATAGCCTTAAATTGGAAACACCCAATAACGCCATCTATCACAAATCTTGTTGGAAATTTGAATTTAAATTACACGCTAGAATGCCTCTGTGTCACAGTGAATGCACCATTCACTGTGACACAGAGGCACAAAGTGGATGAAATTTGGCAACCATGGATTGACCGGATAATCTGGCTACCGCAAAAGGTGGGAGAGGAAGAAAAAAAAACATTATTAGGCACAAACCTCATCATGATGACGGTTGCGTTGGGGTGATGGGTTGGATGGTTGCCCTAACTGACAACAATATTCACAGATACCTTGTGCTCAATGGTTAGTTTTTAGTTAGTTTCTAGTTTTTACACGGTTTCCACATTCTTTCATTATACTATTGCAATATTATCCTTCTGTATGTATTAATATTAAGTGGCAATGTACTGTATGGCTAAGCAATATTTTCTGTTTGGAATGGTCTACTGCGCTGGAACTTCACAACAGTATTGCCCATCCTTGAAAACCAATAAAATACAAGTGAAAAAACAAAAGCATTGTGAGTGACACTTTGTTTAAATGTGTGAAATACTTTAGGCACATTAAAGGTACATGTTGTTATGTGTCACTCTATGTATAGTGTGTGATGTTGTGTAGAGTTTCAGTCACAGTGATCCCCAGAAGCACACATGTTCATTTTGTGAACATAATGTGCAAAACATCTACAGCCCACTCCCTTTGTGTATTGATACATAAATGTATCAATACACAACGCATGAAGAACATACACTGCAAAATCATGCAGATTATAAGCAATAGCAATTGGGTATTTGTATTAATGTTAAATATACAGGTCCCTAATGGCATCCTTAACTTGCTAGGCATATATGCTAGGGCATATATTTGGTCAAGTAAAATATAATAACATACTAAAAAGCAAAATGTGAATACTTGAAACTTTATTAAATTGATGCAGTCACACATTCAAGGGCAAATCCTTTGAAATCCTGAGTAGCCACTAAGAAATTGGATATTACTCTAAATGAAGTCCCCAAACATGTACATCAATTTTGAGACCAGTTCAACAAATGACATGATTGAGCAGATTAATTTTCACAATTGAGGTTCTAAAAGTTTACATGGTTTGTTCTCCTATGTTAGAATATGACTGTTCTTGAGGGTTGTCTTGATTTTCAGATTCCTTTTCAGTTTGGATGTCCGGATTAGTAGGCTGCACTGTATTTCCCAAAATATCTCCATCCTTTTGAGAAGGTTCCATCTCTCCCTGATTTTCTTCCATTCTAAAAGTTGCATATCCTTCCACTTCCTTTGTTTCATGGCCCTGACTGTGTATTAACTGATCATCAGTTTCCTTTAGAGGTGGATTCTCCAGTGACTCTCCTGTGTTTTCAACTTCAGGCGATATCTCCAGGCTGTTCAGTTTAGCACCCTTAATACATGTAGAATGAAGGAAATGTATTGTTTACAGTTACTGCTGTATATCTTACATGAATTAGTATGCAGAGTAGACAAATGCCCAACCATTACACACCTAATGATCTTCAAAAGAAAAGAGCTTTGAATTCCTTTCAGCAGATAGATTAAACATTAATAACCAAAAGAAGAACGAAAGACTTATAGATAGTCAGTGATTTTTTATTATTACAACTGATTACTCCATTGATTAAGGCATCTGTAGTCTACATGATGATATGAACAAAACAGATTGGAGGAAACAATTTATTTTCTTCAACCTTTGGTCAGTATTTAAATAGGTTAAGCATTTAACAAAATAAGGAAAGTTTACTAATGGATCTGTAGAATCACTGTTCTTGATATGTACAGGTATAATAAATAGATGTTTAGTGTATTTTAAGTCTTTTTTTTTTTTTTTTATATGGTTGGAACTCTTTTTACCAGGATACTTACAGAAGACAACGATTCGTCTGTCTCTTCCACAGTTGGCAGATGTGGTGCTCCAAACTTCTCCGTAAGCTCTGCTAGTGTCTTTTCGGGGTATTGCTCTGAAATCATATTCTGCCAATAGATTGTAAATAATAATTTTTTTATGTGATTCAGTAAAATACAATGTGCTCCTAAACAAGCTGATTTATAGAATGGTGTGCTTCAATTAAATAGAAAATAAAAGGTTATGAATCTTTACCAATTGTTAGTGTAAATTAAATTAAATAAAATTGTCCAAAGTACACATTATTTTAAAACATTATATTGACTATTCAGTCTGCAAACATAGTGCAACAGTTTTAGTTGTAAAAGGTTTTTAAATAAAAAAAAAATTAATAATAAATATTTAGCAAATATACCCTGCATGCATTTAATTATGGATTGCTTCATTGCAGGTATATGGATTGCTTCAATGCAGGTATATGTAAACAGATAATAAAATATACAGATCTCTTGTCTGAAGCCTTTGCAGTTCCTCCTCTTCTTCCCTTAGCTACATACTTCCCAATGCAACTCAACAACAAGTCTTTATAAGGTAGGCAATCGCCTGAGTCTTGAGTTTAGCTCCACCAAGCAAACAACCTGAAAATAAAAGGACAGGATGTCTGGTTGACAGCTAGGGGGTGTTAGAAGATTAATTTATAAAAGTACCAAATTCTATTGAATTCTGCACTTTTTGTAAAAAAAAAAAAAAAAAAAGATGACCCACTTTTCACACATAAAGCACTTCAGCGAGTGCTTGAGGTGTTTTTAGCGTTTCTTTAAAATTACATGCGGAACATCAAAATTAAGGGGACACTCTGAAAACCAATACTTCTTTAATAGATTTGATAGGTATGGGCCTCATTAATATGCTGTGTTGTTGCATGTTTAAATCTTTATAGTGTTTGTATAAAATAAATAAATGCTTTGCAGAATGCTACACCATAAGCCTGCCTCTTTAGCTACACCTCCTCTCGCCAGAAAAGTCCTCACTACATTATTATCTTGTTTGGGAATGCTGTGTTAAACCTGCCCATTCTGAGAACTGGCAATACGTGCTTTGTGCTATTCCTGCCTTGCTATTTGTCTAGTAAGGACTTGACCCTTACTAAGTGAGTTGGATCCAATTAGACTCTTGACAGCAGTGGAGATTTGTTCATCCAAGTTGTGCACATGGTTAGGGTATTATCCACGCACAAGTTACACGAATTATACCACATTAGCTTAGGAACAGATAAATCATTGATTCACTATTTTTAAAAATGCATGTGCATTTTTAAATTCCTTCTAAAAAGAGATTTATTGATCTAATCACACCACATGTGGCATGTTAGTGCAAGTTAGGCTGTATGAAAGATAAATCTGTTGTAGAATATATTACAATTCCATAACCATGGTTTGTACAGATTGTGTTGGGAAATTCACTTGTTCATTGCCGTTATTTAGCAAGGAAGAGTATTATATTGGACCAGTTAGCACAAATCTGAGATGCCTATAGTTTCACTGTCAATCATTATAACAGTTTTATACATGTTAGGATTCAGTTGAGACGTTTGTATCTCAGAGGAGCAAAATTCAGTGGCTACCCCCCTATAACTAATTACCTCTCTTCTTAATAGTGCCCATTCTTGGGTACGTGGTTCCCTTAAAGCTTCAAAGAAGAACAGCAACTTATGTTTTAGAAGAATCATGCAAATCATGTAACAATTAGTTAAAATTAACCAACACTACTCTAGCAGATAATGTAGTAATGTAACATTTACATTAACCACCAATGGTAACACATCAGCAGAGGTCATTCTAAGCTGTAATCGCACAACAAATTCACTCCAGTAATACAATACATGGTCTTTTTGGTTCTCACCCTCTGTTGTTCTTCAATTTTCTGCTGGATAAGAATCTCCTCTTGTTTGAGTTTTTCAGCCATTTCTATCTCCATGCGTGCCTCCTCTTTTTCTCTTTCCAATTCCTCTCTTTCCAGTTTCCTCTTCAAAATAAACAAACATTAGTGATATAAGACATTTTTGCAAATAAATACTGACCTTTTAGTCCATCTTTTATGTGATGTGGTCCTCTTCCGGTGCCATCATTCTGGAAGTGATAAAGCTACACAAACAATAATTACATGCCCAATCATACAAATGAGGGAATTATTGAGCATATGCTTATTTATGATATCAAGTGATTTTTTTCAGTCATGCACAAGGACAAGAGTCAGCTATTTTGATATGCACCAGAGCTGCTTCACAGGACAGCATGAGCAACAAGGTGAAACGGCATTGCCCAGTTTTTGCCACTTGATAGAGGCACAGTAATGTGGCAGGTCTGAGCAATAGAGACTTCACTTGCACTAAGTGGCAACTGGTCACATTTCAAGTTGGTGAGGTGCCAGACTGGACTCATGGATTTGTTTCTGCCCCTAAATGTTTAATGAATAGGATTATGCCTATATGACACTACTACCACCAAAATATGTGGACGATCCCATACATAAGGAATAAACCACATTTTTCTATTAATGAGTGAAATCAAAAGGGCATGTTGAGGCTAAATTAGAATATTCCAAGTGTAATGCAGAGTTTAGACACAAGATGCCGCCAAAGGATTACTTTTAAAGAACCACTATAGGCACCCAGACCACTTCAGCTCCATGAAGTGGTCTGGGTGCCAGGTCCCTCTAGTCTTCCTGACAGCCACTAGTGGCCACTTCCGCAATTTACAAATCAAACTTATCTGACGCTGGATGTTCTCACAGAGTCCAATAAGATCCCCATAGGAAAGCACTGAGTAATGCTTTCCTATGGGCGGGATTGAATGCGCATGCGCCTCTGGCCGTCGGCGGAAATAGGGAAGAGTCAGAAGTGCTACAAGTCAATGTAGGTCTCAGCACAATCACATCCTGGAGTACTGAGGTATCACATATAAACAGGACCATTTTTTTCATGTGGAGTGGGGATATTGATATGCTGGAATGACTGCAGCTCTTCTGCCAGTCAGGGTAGCACATTTCTTTTTTTACTTTTCCCTTGGGTGTTAGGTTGGTTACTCATGCTGATGAGTTGCGTTAACAATCCAACAGCTGTCCATTAGTGGTTCACTGGTTTTGCATCTTTTCCTATATTTGTGGTAGCTCCCTCCTTGCAATAAACTGAACAAATGAACACCGACATATAGTGCTTCTTTGTTCTTCTGACATTTCTATTAATTCCTTCTTCTTTCTGACGATTGAATAGACTAAATTCCCGCCCGAATTTCGGACAATAGCGAATGCCCAAGTGTTTAACTAGGCATGCGTGGGAATTTCACAGTGCTATCTAGTGTGGGCAGATGACGTGTCCCACAGGGCCTTTATCTGCCCACACAAAGATGGCAGCGTCCAGGACCTAGGTCCGGTCACAAAATAAAGTTAAAAAAAAAGATAATATGGGGGACTTAGGGGCATTTGGGCATAACAAGGGGGGCAATTAGAGGTAGTAGAGTTGGGAGGGGGGAGACGGCCATGACAGTGCCGCTTTAAACAAAAACTTGTGTGCTCTTATTGTACAAGGTTTTGGTCTCCACTGTCCTCAAGACGACCTCATGGTAGACCAAACCATTGACTTGTATAATAAAGCAACAAGACGTGTGTTTAAAATGTGTGCATGTCTGTCATTTGGTTAATAGGAAATTATGACTAAACAAAAACTCTTGTGCAAAGAGTCCTTGTTGTGAAGAGTTAAACCTTACCTTTTCATACTCATCTAAATTGCTTCTATATTTGTAAATCCATTGTGCTAGATATTGGATGGGATCCATCGGCCTTCTTTCAGCCACTTCTGCTAGTCCTTCTGCCAGGCACTTTCCTATACATTTCTTCAAATATTCAGAATCCATATCTGTGCAGAATATATAATTTCAGCTCAATAGTATGATGGACAAATATTTTTTCAATGTGATCATACAATTTTCCATCTGCATTATTTATATGGATAAAATAGTTTACTTCTAAATGTTCCTATTTTGCATGTTTCCTCAGAAACATGGCCATGTGTCTGGGGAGATTTTTGATCTAAAGAAAATGCTTCAGTTTTAACAATAGCTTTTAACTCCCATACTACTAGCAAGGTTACTGGATAACAAGAGCACAAATGCAAAGTAAAATGGCCATGTGACAGTGGTTTGGATGCCTACTAATGAAAATTAACATAGTAGGAAACATGAGGCTTGCCTAATGACACCATTAATAATGGTCAGAGGCACGTCCCAATGAACATCTGCCAATGGTCTGCAGCAATGATGGACATGCATGGAAAGTATCTCTTGACATAATTAGTGACATAACTGGGCAAGCCAAGTGTAAGCAAGACCTGCCCTGAGGTGGGCTGTAATTGGCTGTTTTGCACCTCGTGTTTTATTGAAGGATTAGACAGCAAGAACGTTTGCATTCACGCTACATACCCATAAAGCCTTGATCTGACACCAGGCAATTTGTAGTTATAACATTTAAAGGTGAAGCTACATTGCCAAATTACAGATTTGCCCATTTTAGTTTTCAAACTTGAAATTTTGTTGCTTAGTCTTTATTTATGGGACATTTTACCATTCACGCAGTCCAAATTTTTGTACATATGCATACTGTTAGCAAAATTAGTCAGACAGAAATGCCTAACATAGCATATTTCGAACACTATCATGGGCTGTTTTTTTTCACCAGTTTGTTTAAACCATGTGCACTGGCACACACCCAAGGCAATATTGGATGGTGAATTGCTGCAAATTGGGTGCTGAAGAGATCAGGTTTTAACCTACTCCCTTTGCAATATTTACCCTAGTAAGTACTGAAATAGAATGTACATAAATGTCACTTTTCTGGAAGTGACATTTCTGCTTTAAAGTGGCACTGTCATGGCCGAATCCCATTTTTTTTTTTAACCCCCCCCCTCCCGACTCCACTAGATCTAATTGAACCCCTAGTCACCCCTAAATGCCCCTAAGCCCCCTATATTACCTAGTTTTTAAACTTTATTTTCTGCCCCGACCTAGGTCCTGGGCGCTGCCATCTTTGTGTGGGTAAATGAAGGCCCTGTGGGACATGTCATCTGCCCACACTAGATAGCGCTGTGAGATTACCGCGCATGCCCAATTAAACACTTGGGCATGCGAACAGGAATTTCATCCATTCATTCATCAGAAAGACGAATGAATAGAAATGTCAGTCGAACAAACAAACACCGAATATCGGTGTTCGTTTGTTCGTTCAGTTTATTACAAGGAGGGAGTTACCGGCGCGCAGCTCCCTCCTTGTAAAATGTAAAAATAGAAGCGGCAGGGAGCAGTGTTCCCTGACACTTCCTAAACCCCCATGTCCTCCCTCACTCTATGAGGGTTACTATGACCCCCCTCATTATAATAAGGGAGATTGAAATCTCCCGAATGCCCCTACTCGCTATGCCACAAGTAGGGGTATGTCTACTAAACAGTGGCCTGTGGCTGCTCACTGTTGTAAAATAGGGCTCAATTTAAAATTCTGGTGCTTGCTTACAGGTCCCTACATAATGCTGCTCCAACCTACCTATCCTCCCTAATACACAAGTATGTCCCGTCAAGGCCCCTACGCTCTGCCAAAGACCTATGTATATCCTCTGTCCGTACTCCCACATCTAACGCTCGCCTCCAAGACTTTTCCAGGGCTGCACCTCTTCTGTGGAACTCCCTTCCCTTTTCCGTAAGAATTTCACCCAGTCTCCACTCATTCAAAAAATCATTGAAAACTCACTTCTTCAAGAAAGCATATCAATTAAACTATTAGCAGGTTTTTATCCCCCACTCCTCGTGACTCCTCTCCTGCAACTGTCTACTTCATATCCCTACTTTTACCCGTTGTGTCACTATACCCCACTCCCTCTAAAATGTAAGCTTATTGAGCAGGGCCCTCCACTTCTCTGTTCCTGTACGTCCAGTTGTCTGGTTACAATGACATGCCTGTTAATCCACCCATTGCTACAGAATCTGATGGCACTATATAAATAATAAAATAATAATTTAGGGGGGGGGGGCTTTTTTCCTCCCACCCAGCCCCCACCCCTGAGCTGCGGGTGGGGGCCATAAAAACAATGAGGGGAACCTATTGTCCTCCCCCGACCCCCACCCCTGAATGGCACGTGGGGGCCATAAAAACAATGGAGGGGGACCCATTGTCCCCCCCCTCCAGCCCCCACCCCTGACCGGCGGGTGAAGGCCCTAAATATCAATGAGGGGGGACACCTATTGTCCTCCCCCTGACCCCCACCCCTGAACGGCGGGTGGGGGCCCTAAATGAAATTCTACCCCCCCTCCCCCAAGGTGACTAGAGGTCCCCAAGCCCCTGGTCACCCCCCACCCAAAACAAAAGTTATTAAACCCCTACCTACCCCCTCACCCTAAAAATAGGGCCCCCACCCACCGCTTAGGGGAAGGAGGGCAATAGGTCCCAGGAAGGAGGGCAATAGGTCCCCCCCTCATTGTGTTTATGGCCCCCACCCGCTGCTCAGGGGTGGGAGGACAATAGGTTCCCCCCATTCTCAGTTAGGGCCCCCATCCGCCGCTCAGGGTTGGGGGCTGGGGGGGGGCTCTAGGTCCCCCCTTCAGTTTGAAAGCCCCCACTCACACTGCACGGGTGGGGGCTCGGGAGGGGGGACACTAGGGGGCTTTTTTTTTTTCTTTTACAGTGGTATAGCGAGTAGGGGCAGCATTTACTAATACTAAGTAATCTTTACTTGGTATTAGTAAATTTGGCTGAAAGACCAATTTAAGTCTTTCAGCCTCTTGGTAGATAACTCATAGAAACATAGAATGTGACGGCAGATAAGAACCATTCGGCCCATCTAGTCTGCCCAATTTTCTAACTCCCTAATTCCCACGATATTACAGGACAGGACATTCGGGAAAAAGTGAAAAGAAGCATTGCAGGAACACGGAGGAAAGGTAAGACTTATGGGAGAATTTCTCTGACCACCGGAAATTAAGCACACTTTGCTCCTCCGCTGGTCAGAAACGGTCAGGCGCATGGAAACCTACATTAGACAAGTAGTCCCTACTTTGTCTTATGTTTTAAAGAAAACTAGAGCAGACAGGAAGAAATGAAGAACAGATCCTGACAGAGGGAGAGAAGAGGAATCGATTAAAGAAAGGTAAGTTTGGCATGACAGTGCCGCTTTAAGTTACAGGGCAAATTAGAGACCTATCGATTTCAGGTTTTTCAAAATGCTAATTTTGTTGCTGGATCTATATGGCATATTGGGGCATTTTTAGTATTAATGCTATCTGAATTTGAATGTAAATGTAATTCCAAACAATTCACACTTTAGTGAATAAGCCTGACGGAATTAGTATTAAACTGGAATCTGAATTTCCAAATACGCTATATTCTAAACTAGTCATTGCTGTGACTATCGTTGATTTGCAAAGGTTCACCAACTCCTCTCTTCTTTCCTAAATGTTGCCATTTTTTTTTTTTTTTACCAAATTGTGAATTTTAAAAGGTGTTCTAGGGGAATTCCCACTATTAGGGCAAAATAATAAATAATTAAAAAAAAAAAAATCTCCATGGCAACAATAATGTTATTTGAGGTATTTCAGCTTATAATGTTTAATTAATAAGGAATCCCAGACAATGTAAGTGTGTGAGCAAGGTGGTATTTCTACAGATACTCCATATCTACACTTATATGTCAGGTGGGCAGCACACGGTGTGTTAATCCCTCATTTAATCTTATTCCTCTCTTTTTTTCGGCTTCTTACCTTCTCTCGGGATTTCACACTCAGCCTGCGCTAGAAGCGTCCTTCGGTTGCCTGGTGACCTCCCGGAAGTGACGCAATGTTGTAAGGCAGGGCGCGCGCCGAGTGTGGCCGAACCATGTTAGGAGTGAGCGCGCGCGCGCGCGCGCGCAGCCAGTGTACCACCAACAAAATGGCGGCTCCTCACTGAGCTAGCGAACACTAGTGGGATTGTGTAACTCGTACAGAAAGCATGTGCTCTATGTTTATCTTAACCCCCTTCTGAACAATATCACTGTTACACCCCAGAGACACGAGGTTATAGTACATGTCTGTTATGCCATGTGGGGATTCTCTTCATTCACAATATTTATTCACTTTATATGGATTGTTGTTAATGTTATTGAGAGATGACTCTAAACACTTGTTTCATTACTGCACTGTGCTCTATCGCAGACAATCCTTGCACACTGGCTGCAATAGCCAATAATTTGCTGGGTACCAAGCCTGAGACGTTAAATATCCAAATCCCTTCCCCAGGGCTTTCATCTGGATCAATAAAATGCAAATAAATACATTTTTACTATATATATATATATATATATATATGTATATAGGAGTTATAAATGGGAGAATAGACACAATGCAGGTGCAGTGCATGTCTGTCGGCGTTCTGGCAGAATCAGCGCAAATGCGTGAATATGCTCCGCTCCTAAAAATAACATGATAGTGTGAATGAGACTGTGCCTATATCACTGGTGTGCTTTAACACTCTTGTGTTAAAGCATGCCAGTTATATAGGCTTAGTCACTTTACATTAAACAACTATGTACAGTTAAGGTAACTATACTTACTAAACCAAAAAAAACAAGTCCTGCGCTCACTCTCATTACTCCTGGGCGGCAGCAATGACCACAGTACACATCAGCCCCAATACATACAGTAAAAACCAAAGAAAAAGTTACCAGGTTAATTTTTTTTCTTGTTTTTTTGTATTTGTATTCACTTTTTGTATCACACAGCTATGTTACAATGCTGCCGCCCATCCCATATGTTCCCTATTAAGGGTTAATAAGTATATAGGGGTGTATATAAAAAATACCCCTCTCTGTCTCATTAGAGATATCTTTGTTGGAGACTCAAGGAAGCAAGGTGAAAGGTCAGTGTAGGAACCCACCTGAGGGGGTCTGCCTTGACGTTGGCAGGTGGGCATTCCCTCCAATGGCCATTGGAGTAACTAAACTCCATTTGTTTAAATATACATAGGGACTTAGGAGAGAGCTCAGTAACTTTTTCTTTGGTTTTAACTATACTTACCAGACATGGCTTGCCGCGTTTCCATGCCAATGCGCATGCTGTCATCACGCTATCACGTTATTTTTAGGGGTGGAGCATATTCACGCATGCGCACTGATTCCGATGGACATGCACTGCACCTGAGGTGAGTCTATTTTCTAATTTATAACTCCTATATATAGTGAATGTATCTATTTTTATTATATTGATCATGATGAAAGTCCTGGGAAAGGACTGAAACGTTGATCCCACTTTTAATCTTGCTACAATAAAGAATTGATTTTATGGAAGACCGTGAGTGCTGCCACTTCTCTGCATATATATATATATATATCTCTCTCAGAAGACCTTTGCCAAAAACCACTGTTTTGCTATCAACGTAATAAGAACCTGCGTGTCCTTTTGGTCAAAACCGATCCACAACACTGTTATAATCCTACAATGAGAGAAAATAGGAATACTGGGTGCGTAAGGTGTTTGGGATGTGTCACATGCGGGCAAATCATCCCTTCTAAAACCTTTAGTCACCCATACACAGGCTCTTTTTTTATTTCATTAAATGGAAGGCTCAGATTTACAGGTCTTTCGGAGAAATGCATTACTGGACTTTTGGGGAGCAAGATGACTCAAGCACTAAGTCCCAAAGATGGGACAGAGCTAAGAGTTTTATTGATTGACATGCATAAAAAAATATTTCTAGCACTTGCACTTAAAAATTTCTTTGTACACTGTAAAAACTTTTCCGTATACATATATGATATATGTTAGAAGCTAAAGCAGTTTACTGTAATCACTTTAATAATATGCACAGCTAGTAGTTAGCAATTTTAAAGTTTTTTTCATTATTTCTTAATTCACTGTTTAGGAGATAAACATGTAAGAGCTCATATTTAATGGCTCATTATAATGAATTTACACTTCACTCCAAGCATATCCGTGTTCACTGTACATTAATATGCTATTTGTTGTTTTGTTTCTGTGTCAGTTGATATAATTTGGGTCTTTCTCCCTCATTCATGTATTTTATGATGCTCTCTTCCTTAGATAACTGCCCGGCTGTGTTCGGGCTGTCTTGACAACGCACAGCATGTGATCCGTGGCTATGATGGAAACTGAGCCTGATCGGCACCAGTACATGGGGGATCAACCAATGAGGTTATGCACCCATAGTTACCCGGGAAACGTGGTGTGCCTGAACTATCGGAACGGTCTCTTTTGCAGTAGCTCATCACATGTCCATACCCGGAAGTGAGCACACATGCGACTTGAGCGCACTGGGCGGGATCAGGGAATGAGCTCCAGCTGTAAATGTGAGTACTTAATTTAGCTTCCCATTAGGCCTTTCGTTTTTTAAGTGTTGTTAGTGTCCTCATGAAAGCTCCGCAATGGAGCTGGAACGTTGATCTTATCCTCTGGAATAAAGAATACTTTCTTCTCTCAAGCTACCAGAGCTCCAGGTTTCAAATAACTTTTTTGTTGGAGTGCAAGAGCTTCTTTTGATTTATATATATATATATATATATATATATATATATATATATATATATATATATATATATATATATATATATATATATATATATATATATATACAAAAACGAGAATACTCACTGGATTTGTGAATCAAGAATTATGTGTATTTAAATTTGCATAGAAAATCAACAATTTGACCCAATCGAGTCTTTATCAAAAACTTGATTGGGCAAAAAGTTTATTTCCTATTCAAATTTGAATACATAGCAGCAGTGTGGTTATATTAAAGGGTAATTATAGTGCCAGAAAACAAACTCATTTTCTTGGCACTATAGCTTCCCCCTCTGTCAAGCAGTCTGCATTAACAAACATTTATGAAAAAATAGCTCGTCCTGAAGAGACAAGTGAATTTAAGTGAAGTACTGTGATAGGATGCCACCTTTGGAATATGTCAGTTTGTGAAATGTAATCCCTGCTACATGTTCTATGGTCAACTGTAAGTGATATTATTGGAAAGTGGAAGCGTTTAGGAACAGCAGCAGCTTTGTCATGAAGTGGAATACCACGTAAAGTCATAGAGTGGGGTCACCAAGTGCAGAGGCACATGGTGAATAAAAGTCACCAGCGCTCTTGATTTCATGGCTGAAGTCTTTCAAACTTCCAATGGCATTAATATCAACACAAAAACTGTGCAGTGGGAGCTTCATAGAATAAGTTTCCATTGCCGAGCAGCTGCATGCAAGCATCACATCAAGTACAAAGCCAAGTGTTTGATTGAGTGGTGTAAAACATGCCAACACTGGACTCTGCAGCAATGGAAATGTGTGGAGTGAAGAATCACACTTCTGTGTTTGACAGTCGGATGGGTGAGTCCGGGATTGGCGGATGCCAGGAGAATTCACCTGTCTGACTGCATTATGCTAACTGTGAAGTTTGGTGAAGGAAGGATAATGGCATGGGGCTGATATTCAGGGGTTGCGTTGTCCCCTTACTTTCAGTGAACATAAATCCTAATGCTTTAGCATACCAAGAAGTTTTGTACAATGCTATACTTTCAACTTTGTGAGAACATTTTTCTATTCCAGCATTACTGTGCCCCAGTGCGCAAAGCAATGTCGATAAAGACATGGTTGGATAAGTTTGGTGTGGAAGAACTTGACTTATCACAGTACCCAGACCTCAACCCCATCAAACACCTTTTGGATGAACTAGAACGGGGATTGCAAGCCAGGCCGCCTTGTCCAATATCAGTGCCTGACATCACAAGTGCTCTACTGGATGAATAGGCAAATATTCCCACAGAAACACTCCAAAATCTTGTGGAAAGTCTTCCCAGAAGAGTGGAAGCTGTTTTATCTGCAAAGGGGAGATCAATTCTATATTAATGTTATGTATTTAGAGTACAATGTCCTAAATGTCCCTGCTGATGTTATAGTCAGGTGCCCAAAGTCTTCTTTTAATAAAGAAAAACACGCAAATGGAAGGACAGGACATGTGCTAATTATCTGTGGACAGTCAGACTTTGTCACCAGGAGCATTGGAGGACTCCAGGGACCTTTTGTTGTTGGCTGTTGGGCTGTACTCAAAGCTTGTTGTGTTGTTATAATGTGTTCAGCCGACGTGCGACATCAGGAACAGTTGTTAGGCAAGGGAATTGTACCCATAGTTTGCATAGAAAGGTTTGTGCTTGGTGAGATTCTCCCCCTCAAAATATCATGACAGGGTATAGGAGCCTGGTTTGAGGCATGTATGCATAACATTAAAAAAACTGTTCACTTAATGTTCCTTAGGTGCTCAAGTTTTCTGGACGGACCAAACAGTTCTTGTGTAAATGTCAATTCTTGACAAAATAAAGGCACACCACACCCTTCCATTGGTATTACTTCTCAGCTTCTGATAGTTTAGTATCCCTTAACTGCATTGGTTTTATTGTGAAAATATATTAGAAGTGGAGCTCAAAAATACTTATACAGATGACTCTTATTGTTGGTCAAGATAGTTACATTGACATGTGAAATAAAGAAGGGATACAAACAGATAGTGTAATTCTGTTATAGCCTGTGTATATTCTCATATCACTATAAAGTGCAAAGATGTTGAAACAATTTGACAACATTTTATTCCATAAATAAGATAAAAAGCAGTAAAATACTGGTATATTGCACATACAATTATATTGCATTATGTGTATTCAAATATATGGCACATAGAATTATATTGCACATACAGAACAAAGAAAAAGAGGTGAGATGTACTGCCTCTTTCTAGAGATCGCTGGTGAGCATATCTGGATTTCACCGCTACTCACAAAGGCTCAGACCTCCAATCAGTCAGTGTAATCCAAAACACTTGCTTGATGAGGTTTCCTCGTTGTAAAGGAGGTCTCGCATGTATATCTCCACTGCAGCTATGCTTCGAATCTCGTGGACATTGTCTTCGCCTACCGTGTGGCGTCACTACGCACGTCCACGCGTTTGGCCTGCGGCTTCGCCAGGACGTGAGTCATAGTTTCTTCCATCTTTGATAGGGGAATTTAAGGGCAGTTCGTGCCGAGTCTTTTCCACTTCTCGTTGGATTAACTGCAAGTTTTTAATTTGCATAATTGCTGTTAAGTTCATTGAGGCTGTGCATCAAACCATTCATTAACCCCCTCATTGCTTAAACAGGCTTTATATTAACACATTGTTTCTATTCAGCAAAGGACACATTTCATGTAAAACCCATATAAATACACAACAAATAACAAAGTATGCCAATCTCTAAATAGTCATATTTACTAAAACCCAAAATGAATACCTGAAAGATAAAAATAAGAAATTGTAAAAACTGCATATATATAGAAAGCAGACTTATAGCTATATATGAAAGACGCAATATCTACCATAACCACCTTGTGTACATGTAGGTATCCATTTTTTCAGTGAAGGAGTGACAGTAAAAATTCCAAAATTTAGAAAGATTGATGTCAACCATAGGCATTAAAACAAAAATACATTGTGACAATCTGTAGTAATTTTAATGATAAAAGTAGAATTTACATTAATAATACACAATTGGGACAATGAGACAAGATGGATACTTTAAAGACAAAAAAAGGAATTGGTTTTATATCTGAAGGATGTGGAAGAGGAGGAGCGTGGTTGGAAAAACAAACTGCCAACTGTACAAGTGGAAGTCTGGGCTTGTTTCTTGAATGTTGTCTCTCCATAGTATGGTGTCAGGATCCCTTACCTTGCATCCGAGTTCCACCAGCCAATAGGACCCGAATTTGGTCCGGTGTATTTGCCATTCAGACCCAAATTCAACTGCCATAAAAAACTGCAGCGTGGGATAAGAGCTTGCATTCATATTTTGTCACTTGGGGCAATACACCGGACCAAATGCGGACATTCATTAACCCCTTAAGGACCAAACTTCTGGAATAAAAGGGAATCATGACATGTCACACATGTCATGTGTCCTTAAGGGGTTAAAGTGGATCTGTCTTATATAGCTCCCTGTGTCTAAATCTATTTTCATTTATTCTTCCTGAGTGCTCTAGTTTTCATAATATACATAGAGAAAAGTAGGGATTACTTTTCCTTCTGTATAGCAGTCAAGTTAAAAGAAGCTGCAAATGGGCAGAGCTTAATGCAATTATCTGTTTCAGCTTTCAATCAACTATACCCACAATACTCAATCCCACAGTAGGGCAAACAGCAGACCAGACATCATGAGAAGAGGAGAGCAAAGTGGCTGTGCCCAGGTATTGAAATCCAGCACAAGAAAGAAAAGATGAATATAAATAATTTATATAATAAATTAATTAATAAAAGCAAGTGACAAGGGAGGGAGCACAATCATTAAAGCAGCACTGTCATGCCGAACTTACCTTTTTCCTATTGTTTCCACTTTTCCTCTCAGAATCTGTTCTTCTTTACTTTATTTCGGATCTAGTTTTAAATAAAACATAAGATAAAGTAGGGACTACTTTTGTCTTATGTATTTTTTCCTGTGTCAGAGAAGGTTTTCCCACAATACTCGCTTTTCCTCCGTGATCTTGCGATGCTTCGTTCACATTCCCGAATGCCCTGTCATATAGGCGCTGTGAAGGATTTTCATGTATTTACCTGTGTGCCTTCAGTTAAACCTTCTCCCTGCTGTTAAATGCCTGTATCAGTTCGTTTTGTGTATTGTAGAAACTCAATTATCTAGCCTGGCCCAGAGGAGGAGTTTTGTGTTGCATAAATTGTGAGTTCTGTGTGCCAGTAAATTAGTCTTGTTTCAGCATTAAGCTTTGGCTCATGTGTGGATTATTCAGCGATTCCAGGGATATTTCTACTTGTGAAATATTGGGTGATTTTCTTTTATGGGAAGAAGGGAATGCTTAACGGTGATACCCTATACTACCGTCACAGGCGCATTAACTGAATTTCATCCTAACAGAATGAGTACAGTTTGTCCATTTATGCTTGGATGATATTTGGTTCGGAATTAAATTCATTATTAGTAGGGGCTAATAAACAGGGAGCAGGTGTAGGCCGGGGAAACAATAGGTCGAATCTAATAAAATGCTCCAGTTGTGGGGCACCTAGTAAAATATTTAACAGGGGGGACATAGTATTCCCCCTAACCATCAACCCATGCCCTGCGAATGGGGGCAATTAAACTAAATGGGGGACCTATTGCCCCCCTTGGTTCTCACCCATTAGTGGAGGGTGGGGGCCCTAAGTAACAAAAGGGGGGCACACACATATAGTCCCCATCTTGGCCCCCACCCTTTAGCAGCAAGTTGGAGTCCTAAGTGACAAAAGGGGTTGGACCTATTGTTTCCCCGGCCTACACCTATTAATGGTGGGTGGGGCCCTAAGTGACAAAAGTAGGGGGGTACCTATTATTTATAATGAGCCAATAAAGTCTGCAGTGCTGTACGTTGGGTATTGTCTCCCGCCCATCCACCAACCTTTAGAAGCAGGGGGCACCTATCCTCCAACCTCCTGTACTCATTTATTGCTTCCATGCTACTAATTCCTTGACACTGAACACTTAAAGACATAGACTATTGGTGGCTTGCTCTAATCTACAAGCAATACACTGTGTATACTAGGGAGTATTGGGTGAGTACTGATTCCAATGTTGATGTTTGCACCATTTTTTATTTCGTTATGGATTTACTAATACAGGTGGTCCTTGTTTTGCGACCTACCTGTTTTACGACGGCTCGCACTTACGACCGGCTCTCTCGCAGGGTGGTAAGTGCGAGCCAACGTGGGAATAAATGGATTCCCTGCTCTGCTACGTTCTTCTATGTTCGGAGAAATTTCTCCGAACATAGACGAATGAAACAGAGCAATGAATCCCTCTAATCTATGTTCGGGGAAATTCCCCCGAGCATAGATTAGAGGGATTCCCTGCTCTTGTGCGTTTGTCTATGTTCGGGGAAATGTCCCTGAACACAGACATGCGCACCAGAGAAGGAGTCCCTTACATCTATGTTCAAGGAAATTTGCCCGAACATATATTAGAGGGATTCCCTGCTCTGGTGTGTTCATCTATGTTCTGGGAAATTTCCCTGAACATAGACAAGCGCACCAAAGCAGGGAATACCTTAACTCCTCACTTACCGACCAATTCGTTCTACGACCCTGTCATAGGAACAGAACCCGGTCGGTAAGTGAGGAGTGTCTGTATATAATTATTTTTTGTAACATTTCTACACTGGGTAAAAAAACCTGAACTTCTGTCTGTCTGACCTCGTTATGAATGGAACTACATTTTATGATCTGTAACAGGTTTAATAGCAAATTCAGGGGGTTGTTCACTAAACTCCAAATGGCACCAAACAAATCCGAATGGCAACCTTTAGGCTAAAATAGCCAAAATATGCCAATGGCTGAATTGCAATTTTTGTTCTTTTAAAGTAGCAGCCTATATTTTATCATGTGATTTTCAATTTGCTACAATTCAAAGTTTAATAAATAGCCCAGTAAGTGATAAAACTAAGAAAGAAATGGATTTCCCCAAATTGTTACATAATCTCTCAAAACTATGTGAAAAACACACCTCTGGCAAGGCCTGAATCAGGGAAATAAACTTTTGTCTTGGCTAGTACCCTATGTTTTGGTATCTAGCCTAGAGTGTACAAAAATATTCATTACATTTTTTTTTTTTTTTACACACATAAATGTATATGGCTATTTTAGTGAAGTGGTATAACATATGCAATTTACCAGCCTCAGGGGAAGAATCCAACATCCTCAATTGGAAGAGCCTGAGGCATATGCCCCACTATAATTCCTCCCCTGTTCCTCCGCTGCATACGGCGCACTTGTGCATCGGTTCGTGCTGGTGTTGGTGGCGGCTGAGGGTTGTCCATTGGACCGATCGTCT